GTTGGGGTCGGTCTTACCACGGGAAGATCCAACTTTTTGTTGCTTGTGACTGGTTCGACTAGTGTTGTAAATCCTGCAGCATGTCTCATTCGGCAGTGGGTCAGGCATACCTATCACTTTACCTCCGCACGCGTCAGGCGAGGATGAGGAGGTGGTGTGCCTACAATTCTCTGCTGTGGTAGCTGTGCTGGGATGACGCCATACGAAGCGATCTTAGTAGCTATATTCAAGCACAGCCCACATGCTTCAGGCAGTTGATCTGTTCATGGACCGATGACCATTGGCAACAGTACTGGTTGCATTCGCTGAGAGCTATCAAATCTCCCGCTCGCCAGTGTGTAGACAAAGCTTACTCTCAGATATGCAGCCATGCTGAAATGTACACTCGCACATGATATATCACTGGTTGGTCTGACATACCACAGTGCCGCCATTGTTGAGCCATGCCATGGCGCTGAGGAGAGTAAGTGAGACCAAGTCTACGGTGTGAAATTGCTGACTGTGGTTGGTGTCCAGCAGAGATGAGAGTTCATGCTTCGCATGAGCTCGTCGTTGTGCCAAACAACAAGGTAGTCTTGGATCGCTGCAGACAGACTGAGCTCACTCCCTGTGGGCAAAAGCTACAGCACATCGTCAGTAAAGTGAGATCGTATCAAGGTAGACCATCAACTCAAGGGGTCTAGCTGCAGTGGTGGTTCATGTGAGCCGCACCAGCCTTTGTGGTACTGCATTGCTCATGCTCTGGCGCAGTCAAGCTATCGGCTCGGTCAACCTCGTAGGGCTTATGGCATCTGTCATACATTAACTTACGACAGGTGGCTAGATTCGCCAGTGGTACCTTCTCTTGTTTGCAAAACCGACTCTGCTCGTCACTTGTCTGACTATGTGTTTTCAATCACGTCATCTGCATCGCGTCAGCTTGACCAGTGTGGTAGCTGCTACAAACTTCTTGCTTGCCAGATCGTAGCTTGTAATCGCGTCGAAGACGTGGCCCCAGAAGTCTCTAGAGCTAGCGTTGTACGTTGTTTCGCGTTGATAACAATCCACGCTCGGAGCCACTTGTATATCTCTGGCTGCAACTCTAGAGGCTGGCGCGACGGATTCTGGCGCTGTTTGGGACTTATTTCTGTGCTTCGTGAATGGCAAAGAAGAGCGCGAGCATCTGCACCAAGACCATACGGGAATCCACGGACCAGCAGACAACCATTTTGAGGTCCAATATACCTCCGTAGCGCCATCGCAAACATCATGGGAAGCGCTGTGCGTGTGTGAACACGCCGGATGTCAGGTCAATGCCGTCGAATAAATAACCTGAGCCCAAAGTGGAAGGAGTCAGCGAGCATCCTGATTGTGTACTAGCTATGTGTGCAGGCAGGCTCCGAAGCAGGATCAATACTGTCGTTGACGCTGCTCAGGATAACGGAGATGATACCTTTGATTCTCAGAAAAGGGTAATGTTCTGCCTGGATGCGCTGTACTATCGACCCACATTTAAGCATTCACATCGTCAAGAGGCAAGGTGTTGTCCCTCTACTGTAGACCTCCACAACTGTGCCTAAGCACGATGAAGTACATTGGAAAGCAGGCGTGATTGGGAGAAAACAGATCTCCGATGGCACAAACGAGCTCAAGAGAGCCTGGCAGTTGTCCAAGTCATCTAGAGACCGCTGTATGGAGTCTCAGGTTGCATAGCTTCATATCGCAGATAAAGAAAGTGTTTGACCACGATCTGTAGGGGCAAGAATGTGGATGTCGGCAATAGTTCCATTTGCTCCTGAGAGTCGATTTGAACATGTCTCTGTTTAATGGGTGCTAGCTTGCGCCGGCATGCACCTAGGCGCGGATAGGCAGAGTATTCCTGAGTGGCAGCAAGGCGGCGACTACACGAAGTCTCAAGCCTCCACAGCGAACTTCTTTTTCCACCAAGCAGGATTCAACCTCTTCCTGCAGTTCAAGAAAGACATAGCCAGCCTGAAACTTGAGACATACCGAAAAGCGTCTAGCCTAGAGCGTGTGATGCGTTCTGTGATAAGCATCCTGGGAAGGAAGAACAACATAGTCTAGTACTGGGGCTAGAGAGATACTGCAGTATTAGCTACTCTATCAGTAAATGTTGTCGACATGACTAATTAAAAGGCTTTTTAATTTCATCATCGAGGGTTACGTGAATAAATGCTATGCCTTAACGACCATGTTTTTGGAGCGGTACTGGAATGGACGCCATAGATACTGCCTAGTTGTGCCGTCTGCAGGAGATACATATCCTTTATTAACGTCGCTATCGCGCCATTATATAATACTAAGTATTGGACCTTAATAGTCCTCCCCGCGTCGTGCGCCAGTATCTTGTCTTAGCAAACAGCTATAGTATCGTATCGATAGCTCGAACCATGCAGATAAGACAGTCTTTATAGAGATACGTTGTGGTTCGCTCGTAGCTAAGTAACATTCTTAATAAAAGCTCGATATACTTAAGCTCATCTCTTCACGACATCAAAAGTGCACGACCCAAGTCGGTGTTACGATACAGCAACTCGTTGTCTGATGCAGGAGCTCACTTCTACTATATGTGTTCGAATCAACAGCGGAGACATAATGACCAGAGCACAGACCTAACCACTCCGTCTAGTCTGCACAACATGCACGATCAGAAGCGCAAGCGCAGTCAACTTAGTTCAGCCCCACGCAACTCAACTCGACACTAGCAACACTACCGTGTTCTGCCACCTTTCGTGTCTTATACACTAATCTCTAGTTGTACGTCAGTAGATATATTCTGTTAGTACAGCCACTTAACGACATTACAAGAGTAGAGTAGGGCAGTCAAGGGATGATAGAAGCCGTGAAGCGGCAGCCTCAGGCAACATATCATCATAACAACTCATTCTCATCGGAGACCGCAACACGTGCTCGATTTCTGCACCAAAAGTCGAGTTTTGGATCATTCTACACATCGATCAGCCAGACCTATCGCGAGCTGCAGGCAACATATGCCTGCAGCTCCTGAGACGCTTGTGGAGCAAGCTTGCGTACTAATCAAAGCGGTCGCGTTGATTGAAGGAGCGCACCCATATCATGCATGCCCGGACCAAAGTGGACGACTTTCAAGATGACTTGCAATTCACCAAGGTGGACTGGGCCAACTCTATGGTGAGTCTTTAGCCTTTAGTTTTACGAGGTCTTAACGTAGGTGTAGCTGTTTGCGAAGAATATGCACCAAGCGATGTGTAACCAGCCTGTCTGGGACGACATCGAGTTTAAGTGGCGAGCCATCTCCGATGAGGAGCAGCAACTAGCGATAACGATGATGCTCGAGCGTTGTCAGAGTCTGTTCACCACCCGTAGTCACGATCTTAGCAGTGCCAAAGTTCGCACGGCCATCGAGGCACGACTCTATCAAGCGCGAAGGACATGGGTAAGAGGTCGAAAGAGCGATATTCCACACCGAACAAACACGCCTGTTCGTGCTCGAAGTTGTCGCATGGCCTCTGTTAGTTCTGTTGGGGCTTATGCTACTATCGACCATTGTTATCATGATACATGTCGAATTGACTGTGTCGTGTCTTTTCGACGAGCTCACGGGTCTGCTTCGTTGGGCAATGATCCTCATTCGAAGTGACTTGCTCACATTCAGTCAGAATTTTAGGCGCGATAATCGCGATATCTTGAGCCAGGCGAATATGTAGAGAAACACAAGAATCTCGACGCAGTACCATGCTGGTATGATTACCAAGCTGATGAGCATGTGGGAAGAATCAGGCTGGAAGGTTTAGATCAAGAACCCATTCAACAGTTCAGATGGCAGAAGATCATGTCTGCTTCGCTTCTGTGGAAGAAAAAGACAGGTAGAAGACATGGTATTATCTTGGAGGATAGAGAGCCGTTGCGTCCGCAGTGATTGGATTGCGCTCAGTGCGACAGAACAAAATTGCATCGCAGATCCAAACGTGATCGTGATAACCCTCGAGTTTTTTATGGCAAGATCGCATCAGTCGACTGGATGGTCAGCAATGCACGTGCATGCTCTGTCTCCCCTGACATGTGGTCGACATGTTCTTAACGATATCGAGTAGCTGACCATAAAATGCACTAAGCAGCGACGTGCATCTCAGCTGAAAGAAACTTCGCGCTACTCTGACGCCACGTCAACGAACTGAAAAGCTGCTCCCTAGCACACTTTGCCGTATGGATAAGATGCTATCAAGGCCGTCAAAGATGTACGTACCCTGTATATGAGTTGAACAGCATCGCAGAAGCTCGGCTGTGCTTAGCCATTTCTTTATTAAACAGCATGGAAGGCGAACATGCAGTTTGACCAACAGCGGATGAGAAGAATAGAAATAGGTGTCCTTAGCCAAGGCGGCTGAAGTGTTCGAGACCACGGACCATAAACTTAATGCAAAGCGGGTTGCCTCAATCTAGACAAGAACCGCGACAGAGTTCGACGCTATCCTGTATTCGACTATTCTTCTTCAGCTCGACGAGAGACAAACAGGAGCTACACTTTTCAGTAACAGGTCTAATTGGCGGACTTGCATTGAGCACCTATCGACGAGTTTTAGGATGCAGGCGAGTACGAGTTTTACATACAGATTAGATCAACTTATATTAAGCTTTTGGCTGTAGAGTGATAAATCAACGGTAAGCGACACTTAGGACGTGTCTCGTTGGTTTCGGATGTGGGTCGACTGTATAGAGCCGACTAGACTTCGCTGTTTGGGAAACACTTCCGATCACCTTTCTTATCGTGCTGCTCCAAACCCACCACCCGCATTTTGTGGCTGACTGATATCCATAAACTTGCGAAGATCGCACCCAGCCAATCGTCGTAAGCTTACTCGAGCCTCATCTAGGCCACACGAAACCATGAAGCTTCCTCTAGCCGAGTCCCACCAAGTCGACTGGTCCTTCTGTTGGTTTCGTGATTAGAAAACTGCGATAGCCATCAAGACATCTTTTCTGATGTCTGCAGCTTTACAGCCACCATACCGACAACTACAATGGCCATTACAGAGTATAACGAATCACGTAGAATAGATACCGAGAAACCATTGATGAACTCGACCGTCACTGCTCTTGATGAGTCGCACTCGTCTTCTCTGAACACACCTGATCGACAGCATGGTCAAGGATCATTCTCAACAGAACGTCCGGTATGGATGAGAACGATCTTGATGGTCATTGATCTTCTTCTAGCAGCATCGCCTCTACTATTTATCGGCATTGCTCTCGCGGCTATTGCTTACAACAAAAAGCCAATAGGTTACGCCAGTCACACTATCCGAGGAGTTGATATGTCCTTCAATGGTGGAGATATCATCATTGATGCTGCTCGTATCGCTGTCAGTATCTTTCCGATCATCTTTGCAGCAATTGCTGGTCGCTTTCTCAAGGCCTATGCTCTACACCGAGCGGAACATGGATCTCAGATGGGTGTACTTGAACAACTCTATGGCAGTCAGAGTTTGGCGAACGCTCTACAACTCTCAGTCGCCTTGAAAGGACCTGGACTTATCGGTGTAGGTGTAGTACTACTCTGGCTCCTGTCTCCGCTTGGAGGCCAAGGTGTTGGGCGTGTCCTTGGCAGGACTACTCGGTCCACATACTCGGCCAGTACGGCTTTCTATACTGACACAAGCGCCAATCTAACAGCCTTCAACTCTCGAAGATCGTCTAGCCTCACCTTGCCAGCTACAAGCGCTCTCCTTACGTCCGCATTACTGACCGACCGTCTTGCAGATAGTGAGAACGATGTCTGGGGCAATGTCAAGATTCCGTACTTTCATTCTATCAAGTCGAGCAACAATTCTGAATGGTTGACACCTGACGCAAATAGTACCAGCTCGTCGCTCGTTGGTATCACTGTCTACAATCTGACTGCAGATGCCGGCACTGAATTCAACATGTCGAGCTCCTACGTAACGCTCAATTGCCAGGAACCTTTGTCTTTCAGCTACATGCCACCTGACTATAGGACGGACAGCGATGGCGTCACTGCTCTTGCTAATATGACAGGTTACAATCGATTCATGGAGTGGTACGGCACGACTTCTACAAGCATGTTGACGAACTCGACGGATACTAATACTACCGATACATCAAGCCAAAAGTGGAGTGACTGGCAATATCTACTTGACGTGCGTAGCAGCCTTAACAACGATTTCCTGAACACTATTCTCAGACCGCCCACGATTATCTACGCTTCCCAATCATTCTCATCTCCTGATTGGTCTGGCTCGGTGATCAAGGCTTACGAGTGCAGAGCGGAAGTTGAGTGGATTCAAGTCAGCGTCGAATGCCCAAGCAATCAAAACTGCTATCTGACACAAGCACGGAGTATCCAGCGACCCCAAGAATTGGAAACCGATAGCATCTTTTCTGAATACCCAATCGCCAACACAGACAGTGCATCGCCTATCGTCAACCTTCTCAGCTTCCTCAACAGCTTTGGCAGTTACAAGAATACCGATGTGAACGTCTGGGGTCCCGCATCAACGATAGTCGCTTATCTGGCAGGCGCTGACGTCTACGAGACTACTTATCAACCCGTAAACGATACTGCAATTCCTCAACAAGACCTCGACTACCGACTCGCAACGCTGATCAACACAGCTTGGCTCATCTCGCTTCAACAGACCAACCTCGCGATGTCAAGCAGCACCAATACTACCTTATCAGCTGTTCCTGAGTCTGATCCGCTCAATTACATGCTTCCCAGTGGCAAGACTTTGAACTACGTTATGGCTCCTTCTCCCGCTACGACAATCTTCACCACGGAGATCTATCAGACAAATTGGGCTTGGGTGTCAGTAGACATTGTTATTTCTTGTGTGCTTTTGGCCCTGGGTATAGCGGGATTCTACTTCAGACAGGTGAACCGACACCCTGATGTACTTGGGTTTGTGTCGACCCTGACACGAGACAACCCAAATTTCGACGCACCACCACAAGCGGAGAAGTTTGACGGGCTGGAGATGGCGAGCTACTATAAGCATACCAGGGTGCAACTTGTCCGTGCAGGCGATGGCTCGGAAGACCACGCTAGGATTACGCTGAGACCGCAGTAACGGGGAGGATGTGCATATATAGCAGAGTCGAACTTACCTTGCTCGAGTCATATAGACTGAAAATGTGAATGTAGCTCATGTTCACTCAGGTCGAAAATCCTAATCTTGCTCAGCGATTGAGGGAGGGTTCCGCTTCTGGAAAACGACTCAGCAATGTACTGCTGGAATTGTCCAAGAATCTGATCTTGCCAATTCAAGACGTTCTGTCACAAACATCATACAAGCGACTCTGCACTGTCCCCGCCGGCACACTCAATAGAGTACCGTTTGCAGCACTAACAATGTCCGGGGTATCTCTCTGCGAAAAAATTTAACGTCTATCAAGTGCCTAGCTTGGCTGTACTGAACGAATTATCTGCTGCAGCACAGGTCAGATCAGAGGAAGTACAACGTGTCACGATCATTGGAAAGTCGCTTTTCGCGCCCGTGCCGGATCCGGTATGGATACGCATCTCCTCGGGCTGAAACTGTTCTGCCTCCTCCTTCTCACAGGTGGCCGTGGCATAGTAACAGGATTGCAGATGCTACGCTTTGTCGGCGCATGCCGAATGCTGGATAAATCACTAATTGCAGCAGTTACGAGACTGGTCAGAGCAATGCCGCCTCCGTAAGAACGGTGTCGATGTCGGAGCCTTCTATAAATGGCGACCTACCACGCAAAACTGTAGTATCTTCTTTTGGCCTCCACTGACTACTTAGCAGGCCATCTATCTTGCTACCCACCTCCACTAAGTGTTGCAAATTATCTCGCTCGGTGGCCACGTCTGCCTGGTGCTCTAGTTCAGCTTGCTGGAACCGAATCTGGGTTGTCCAGATCTGCGGAGCTTGTCTCACGCTGTCTTGTTGTTCCGTGAGGTATGTGTGGACCTTCTGTAGCCCATGGATGATGGACAACAGCTTAGCATTGACCTCGGCATCCTGGCACAATTCGGCGAACGTACAGGCAGCATCGAGGTAGTCAAGGATAGTGGAAAGCTCAAGAGCACGACGATGGACGCCGAGATTACGAATTTTTGGTCACCTTCGTGAGTAGGAGTGTCTCGAGTGGTGAAGCTTGTGCTGTACCACTACCTGCCGACCTTGCAGAAGTACCTCGATCAGTGCACGCAAGACAAGACCTGGCCGCAGTCGCATTACAAGGCCCTTGAATACCTGCTGTCCACCATGAAAACACGGACCGATGAGACCACGCGTTCACAACCTCGTCGATAAAGCCGGCCGAGAGCGGCTCGAGAGTGTGTGAGCTCGGGCTAACTGAGTGGAACTAACACTCCCCTGTAGGCTGACATCAAGGTCCAATGCTAGTCATATTTAAGACGCTGCAACCTCATTACTTCTCATCGCTTTATCAACCACGAAGCGTGTTGGTCCATCTGCACGAGTGACCCATCTACAGTGACCTAGTTCGAAGCATCGTGACCTGGATCATGGTGGCAAGAAATGATGTGGGCAAGCAGTATAAGTCAAGGCAGACTTGGATTCTTAGCCGTAGAGCAAAGCTATTGAGTTTGCATATGTTTACCTGTACAAACTTCTCAATCAATCAGCTACGACCATGATGCACAATTTGTTTTCTTTCGACTCAACTTAGCTCGGATTATCGTCACGTATCTAAAGTATATCAAATAAGCGCTCCTTCATTGCTGAATTCTTCAGTGTCATTGCTAGAGCCATCTTGATCTCGATCTAGGTCGTGCTGTGCAAACTGAAAAGAGACGCTCGTTGATCCACTAGCTGAGGCTGTACCGCCCTCTAAGGTCAGCGATTTAGATCAATTATTGACACGACTGCGCTTTTTCTGTTGCTGTGTTGGACTGGAGCCTTGTGTGTCTGTACGATTCCTCTTGGTTGTCTCGAGTCCAGCTACGGACGACTCATGCGCCAAGCTAGTGTCTAAGGTTCGCTCTGTCGGGGGTGTTGTGTAGCGGACGCTTTCCGGGCTAAGACTCGTGTCCTCAATGTCCAGACCCGCATCTGTGTGTACAATGTTGTTGGCGTGAGCAATCGCTTCATTTCTTTGTTGCTCTGCCCAGTCTCGAGCATTGCGAAAAGCCGTGACCCCTTGTCGGAATGTCTCGAGATTGCCGGTCATGCCCCAAGTATTGAGCTGATGCATGTAATACTCGGGATGACCTCGTGGATGAACTGCCTCGGCCCGTGAGACTGTATATATTTTCAGTGTTCCGCCGTGATAAATGGCCGTGACTGTGTGAGCCGAGTTGTCAGGCACAGACTGGATTGATCCATAAGTTTGCAGACTGTGCATGCCGCGAGCACCCAACGCGCCATCATAGCAAGCCTGACGCATCGCCACTGCCAATGACCCATCAGGGCCTTTCGCAGCCACAAAGAAGTTGGGGCATACAGGTAGCTCTTCTTGTGTTGTGGGTATGATCATCCCTCTGAGCTCGTCTCGAACTCGTCGATCAATTTGTTCCGGTCTAGCGCCTTCGTAGATGTCAGGATTTCCAGGCTTGATAGTGCCGTCGGTCAAAGGCTCGAGGTTGCGAAACGCGACCCCTCCAGACTTGCACTGACCATTCCTGTCTTGGCCATCAATGATGGAAATGACTGATTCTGACACTTGCTTCTCTTTGAAAGCGTCGCCATCCGCTGTTTGGAATTTCTGGAAGTCTTCCCCTGATACGCGAGACGGCGAGAGGGAACGCCGTGGCACTACCAGTCTCTCATTAATCTCGCTCCAGTTACGTGGCAGAGGCGGAATCCGGCCGTCGGGATATTTGTAGTTGGCAGGGAAGACACCATGGTCGACAAGGTTCTGTTGAAAATTCCTGTTGTAAGGTCCACTGCTCTTCGTGTTGGCAGTCTCTGTCGACGCTTGTTCACTGGGTGTTGGGGTGGGGTTCTGTCTGGAAGTGCGTGATGCCGACCGTCGAGAGCTGGCCGCTCGTTGAGGTCTGTCTCCAGGAATTCGATACTGCCGATCAGTTAGAAGTAGCTATCGACTCTCATGGCCTTACTTACTCCCTGTGCATCCGACATATCCGGTCCTCCTCTTCGTGCAAAGCGTTGCAGGTTATTTAAGGTGCGCACAGTGCAGTATCCCAGATAGTCTGCCACAGGAGTAACTGCCTGACTGCACGCGTCAGGGCAGGTGAGAGTTCTCCCTGTGCTGTTCCTGCGGTCGAGCTCTTCCAAGGCACCTCTTGTGAGATGAATGACACTCAAATTGTTCCAGAATGCAGATGGTGACCGTGATCGTGAGCGTGACTGTGATGGTGAATCGTCACTTGTGGTGGACCTTTGCCTCTTGCATGCGTTCTGACTTGACCGCGGTGTTTGCAGAGCCTCCCAATCTCGAGACTGGCGTTTGCGAGGGTTCGAGGATGGAATCATTGACATGGAGAGAGCGCAAGCCGAGAATCAGCAAGGCGTCATTATTATAGTCATCGGGTTTGCTGAACGCAAACCGCTAGTGGGAGATGTCTCACAGTAGGGTTATTGCATATGAACGAAGCCAAAATGGGCGGCTTTCGCGCTAGTTGATGTCTTGTCTGCGTGTTCGCCTTTTGATACACTATGAAATGCGTAAGTCAGTGATCGAACTTGCAAATGCAGACTACGGGAAGGTCCCACTAATGCAGCTCAGAGGTGGGGAAGGGTCACATGGTATTGCCCTAGCTGCCTCAGGGTCCTCCCTACAGATAGTTTTACTAGATGATTGCCAGCCAATCCCTTTTGGAACCTGATGGTCCAGTGAAAAGTCTGGCATCACAAGGCTATCCCACGCGCCAGAACCTGTGAAGGGCTACTGAGTGAATGCCAGATACGAAGTCTAAGCTCTAGAATCATGACCAGAAAATAACCCTTCAGTCAAATTCAGCCGCATCTGGTGCTTTGTCCGCCAACATTGCTTCGCCGTCAAGATTTTTATGCCACCCTGCACTCATGACACCCACAAAGTGTATGACTGTATCGTCGACATCATGCAAGATTGTTGTAGGCCTTCACCAACTGAAGCCATTGTATCGAGGGCTAGAGCAAATCAAGTGCGAAGAATGGACGCATCAGGACTGCATTGGATCAACGAGCCGCCTACCTGGGCTGATAGCGTTTGAGCAGGAAGGAAAGAAAATGTGTTCTACCACCAAGCAGACTTTGTCAGAGTGGCTCTGAGAACGGCTCGTATTGAGATGGAAATAATATTGTGTATTCATCCCTAGCGTCTGGCGTTCGGTATCTGACGTCTTGCAGCTGGACGAGATAGAGTTTCAAGTGCTTCTGGATGGGTGTGAGAAACGAAGGGGAGCTACATGCGTCCATCGAAAAAAGGCATGGTTGCCGAAGATCGAGCGCTGTGTGAGAGCTTGTTTACAACTGGGCAGCCCATTCCGACAGACGATTTGTTCGACGATGACCACTTTCCAGCCTTCCACACGAACCTCCGGGGCCGATCTGAGTCTCGTCTCGGTGCTGACCTGCATCCTCGTATCATGCCATCGGTGGAAAATCTGTGCATTCTGGGCCAGCAGGAACTAGGGAACTTGAGAGAAGGTTACAACGACTCATGGATCAAGTCGATACCCTTCTATGGTCCACGTCCGCAACCTGATCACACTATCGGGTACAACTGGTCGAACTTCAACGAGCAAGAAAGGCGTAAGCTCGGCGTTGAGCCTACCAAAAAGTCACTGTACACGGCTCGAGAGGATATCTACTTCCCCTTTCTGACTGCCGAGGTCAAGTGTGGGAAACAAGGACTGGAGCTGGCGGACATGCCCAACGCCCACAGCATGACTGTCCACCAGCGTGGCATTGTCGATCTCGCTCGTGGGGCAAAACGCACAAATGTCGTGCACCGACGAGTGCTGGGCTTTTCGATGTCTCACGATGACAATGGAGCACGCATATATGCTCACTATCCTGAGGTCAACGGTGAAGAAATCACATACTGGCGAGAAACGTTGAGAGAGTTCACATTTGGGCGTGATAAGGGCAAGGACAGGTGGAGGTGTTACCAATTCACCATCAACGTCTGCAAGATCTTCGCGTTGCCTTTCCTGAAACAGCTGAGGGAACTGATTGAACAACTTCCAGATCCGGCTACTCAGTCTTTTGGACTTAGTGCGGGATTCGATGATATCAGTGTGCAGAACTTGCAGGACGATGCGAGCACTGTGGAGTCTCAGGACGAGAGCTTCAAGAAACCCTCGGGTAGTCGTGGATTGCAGGCTGAGCTTCGGACTATAGTGAACAGTCTGCAGCGACAGTTGGCGCAACAAAGGCAGGACGCGGAACAGCAGCGGCAGGATACCAAAGAACGCGAGACTGCGCTATTGACGCAACTTGAAAAACAGCGCATCGACCATCTACAACAACGGCAAGGCCTCGAGCAGCAACAAAGAGAGCTCATGAGCGTCTTGGCGACGCAGAGCAAACAGATTGAGAAGCAGAACACAGAGATCGAGAAGCTAACTTCACACATAAAGGAGCTACTGCAGAAAAGGCAAAGTTTATAGGAATTTGCTGTCTCAACTTTTCGAGACTTTCTAGTGGCTAGGTCGTAACGACTGTACTTGTGCCAAATCTTACCAAATGCTAGTTCTGCGCTTGTTAGTACCACTTTAGCGGAGGCGCTGATAGGTCATTGATGCAAGACGAACAAGTTGACCGACTGTTGCCAGAACTCCAGGCAGTTCGCTCGAAGCTACGACACTGCCCACAGACCAGCCCATAGCCACCACCACTATCGTCGCAGCCGCCAAAACTGTGTCCCCCAAAACTGAATGCGGTTCCGGGTATGTATCGTCCAGTCTGAATACCACAGTCGATGCAGAATCGAGTGAGTCGTTGCACCGGTATCGCGTCAGCCGCTATAGAGTTCTTCCCTCTCTTTCCTTTCATCATTGCATTGGAGAACTTGGTCGTGGCTCGAATATGAAGGCACAGGCCACAGGCGAAGTAGTCGCGGTTGAACAAAGGTTGTTTGAGACAACCTTCTGCCTGTGCAGCCCCATTGTAGCAGGGCCATCGTTCGATTTGCAGTAAGTCAATCATGCTGTACTCATTCTTGGAGACGGTCACCCATCCGTGCATAGTACGGCACGTCAGGGATAACGCAAGAGCAGATACATAATCAGCGTGTGAGACAACTTGAACGATGAGCTCAGGCGACAGACTCAGAAGTGACTTTGTCATGGCGAAAATGCCTGGTCGACCTTGCTCGCTTGCTTGCAGGTAATTAGCACAAAACGTATGGGACTTTTGAAGCTAGGAGGCCGCACCTCGGCAGTCTTGCTTTCTCATGGGCACACAAGCAAATATTGCGTCAGCACAGCGGGAGCCGCCAAGAAAGTCACCTTTGTTGATAGATCTAGCAGGATTACCATCACTGTCATTGGACAAGGTCTGCCACGCACCCTTTGCATGGTCTATTACGCATTTCTTTCCAGGAGTAAGGCTATGGCATAAGAGATGTGCAAAGAACAACAACGACATGTCGTCCCTTGCTTCGCAACATCGCCCGTAAGCGGAATGTGACATGTGTGCAATCTCGTTTCGAGACATTGCATTCTCAGCTGGTGAGCAAACAATGTGGTGCAACCGACCAGATCAACGCCTCCTTGCATGTTAGTTTTGTACATTCAGGTTTATATCTTCACATCAATCCGGTCAGAAAGGATGTACACTAGCAACGACAGTCCACTCTAATCCGACAAAGTTGACCACCATAGAGCCAGCAGGTATTGAAGCAGAAGTCGATCATGTCCGTGTCGATCACCACTGTTCTCACTTCGCTTCGTCTTCTCATCGAAATCATTCGAGTTGGAGCAGAGCTCGTCCACCTGAAGTGGCGGCCACAAGAAACGCCTTTCCGCTTTGTCGGCACTGGTACAAGTAAGCACGACCAGACGCGTGGCCGTGATGAACGAGCTAACGACAATGCGACCAGGTGACAATCTGGAGGTCGACGTATAGACAGGCCTTATAGCAAGATGCCTTGCCAGGTTATGGACGAAATGGTGAAGCGTCCAGGTTATTCGGCCTTGCCAAATTGAGCAACAGAATCAACTCAGCAGCTTAAGGCTGACAAGGCTGACAAGGCTGACAAAAATCTGTCCTGGAAACCACCAGCTTGTGATCCTTCATTTAGGGCAATTGCACCAGGTTGAGTGCTACCGCCTATGGCTCATGGCACGCCACGAATCTGCTGATAAATGGAAAGGGCTAGCTTTCTGACCTGTCGACATCAAAGCTTTACTTGCCACCGTACTTCGGCGGTCGGCTCCTGCCGTCGCCATTCGTGGTTCTGCAGCGAAGATTGTGTTGTTGGGAAGCTGACACATAGCTGTGTATATACTGTCTATGTATAGTGTATACCCCATGTCTGGTCATCTCAGAGTAAATGGTGAGCGTACGTCTTCTGCTGACCCGTCATTGCCCCTCTGACGCAACAACCAGGCCAGGTTGTTTGTGCTCGTCAGTGTGTCGGGATGCTCTTGGCCCAGAACGAGCTCGGCGATCTGCTTCAGATATACGCGCACCTGGTATTCGTCCTCCCACTTACCCAGCTTATGCAGTAGTTCCCCTACCGTTCTCACGTACTCTCGATCGCGATCTGACATGCGATACTCTGATCCACATGCCGACGATACAGCGGTGAAGTTGGCCATGACATGAGGCACTAGCCGCGTTCCGGTACCCAAGTCGCCCTCGTGGTCGTGTATCACGGTGCTGAGAAGCCCAAGCACGACCAAGCTCCATTCTCGCTGTAATTCGCCTTCCAGCCGGTCGTGACTCCATGCATGCACTAACTTCGGCATTGCTGTGAAAGCAGGCCTTACGTGGCATAAGGAAGTGCATGGCTACCCCAATGTGCGACTCGGAAATTCAGAAACGTCATTTGGAAGTACGACTACGGTCTGCATTTAGCAGGAGAGATGCGGTATAAGCTCTTGACATATCTTGTCGATTCGATCAGGGTGATTATTCCGATTGTTTCAATCGTTGACGACGCACCAGGAGTGAGCAATAGAGTGAATAGTTGTATATTCACCCGGGTGTCTGTGAAGCTGATTGAGAAGGTGCTCAGGCCTGAGAGCACGCTATCTTCATCGCTCGAATATGTCTCTGGATTTTTCGATATGGATCGTTATATTAGAGACGCAGTTGGTATCAGAACAGTTCTTGTGCCAGCTTGGACGTCGCGAGAAGATGCACATGGCAGTACATGACAGCATGAGGACTAGAATTATCGAATAAAAATGGCTGAGGCAGGTTCTGAGAAGATGGCGGTCGTCGACTGTCCTTATGCCGTGTGTGAAATTCTTAAGCCTAGTGTGTCCCATGATATAATAGCGCTACGGGCTGGACACGTAGAGAGGGTACATAACGCGGATCTCTGGCTACATTTACCGAATCGATCCTACACCGTCAACCTTTTCTAGATCGCCGAAATATCGAGCCTAAACTTGGAGGACCATTCTATTGAGACTACTTTTCGGCAAGACGTGAGCACCATAAAATTCTCCCTTCCTCCTTAGCAGACCATCCAAGCGCATCATCTATGTGCATGTTGGGGAGTACCTCCAAAAAAGTGTGTTGCTCACACACAGGTGATAGCCGTATGTCACTCTGTCGAGCTGTCCAACAACCACCACATAGATCCATGTCTGCACATTGCCTGCAAACATAGCGCCCCGTAGCACAAGCAAGTGACCCACCACATACATCGCATTCCACTTCAGCAAACAGCAAAATGCCTTCTTCACACTTCATTTGATGTTCGAAAGAAGCACGTGCATTGTGATCATCATGAACTTGCAGCAAAGCTCTCCCTAGAACTCCAAATGGCGTCAAAGTTTGAGTAGCTCAAGTTGCGACTAGCCGAGCCAGTTCAGCTACTTTGTCTTGGTACTTGTACAGATTACCGAGCTTATTGACTATGCTTAGTGTCCTGGTGTGGTCTGACCCCAGTGCTGCCTCGTACCCAGTCAGTGCTCGCTGGTACATCTGCTCGGCCTGCTCTAGCTTGCCTTGATCTCTGTATAGGTTGCCGAGCTTATTGACTGTGCTTAGTGTCGAGGTGTGATCGAGGCCCGGTGCTGCCTCGTACCCAGCCAGTGCTCGTATGAACATCCGCACAGCGGCCACTAACTGTACCTGTTCTTTAAGCATTTGTGCAACACCCATAATTTTGTATTCCCGCCCAGCGATACCCATTGCTAGCTTATCGTATGCCTCAAATCGAGAATAAGCCAGCCGTCTCGCATGCTGACTCATATGGCTGTATTTCACATGGCTAAACAAGTACCAGTCGTCATCTTCAATGTCTTTGGCTACACAATCGAATGCGTACCAGTAAAGCTCCGAACTCATCGTCGCATTCAGCTCGCCAAGTGTCCAATCGTGCACGCAGCTGTGCATACTGTACGACTGGCTTGCGTGCTGCACTTCCGGGAAACAGTAATCCACGAGAACCGCCGTCGCACCTTCGAAATAAGGCTGGTCTTCGAGAGTTGCCTGTAACCACTCTGGCGAATCATCCGTTAGCCTAGCGGTCAGAAGGTCATACCACATCTTCTGGTTGTCAAAGTAGGCTATTAATTGGAGCATCTGTGCTGCATCAGGATCTTCGTTTCGTAGCCGATCGTATGACAAATTCTAGGTAGTATACATTGTTCGATTTTAGTAGTCCTAGAGTCGCAATGGCCGGTCAGGATTGATGTTCCACTTTCGTTCATATGCATCGAGATACTGCTCGAAAGTCATGGTGCTTTTGCGAAGGAAAGCACCTGCGGTGACTAAAGCCAACGGGAAGCCACCCAGCCGTGTTGCTAAGCGTTTGGCCCCAGCATCTGCTAGTCAGTCAGTCGTATCCTATGGCGAGATATGTGCGATGTCTCTTACCACGTTGTACCTTCAACCGACCCGAACGAGTTTCCAAAATGCTGAGACTATCGGTAGTGGCTTGCAATGGCTGAACCCGCACTATCTTCCCAGTCACAAGATCAGGAAGCCGAGTAGTAATGACGATGGATCCATGTCCAACACCAGGACAGAAATTGTCAATGGCGAAAAGCTCCGGCTCGTCATAGTTGTCAAAGATCAGTAGCCACCGTGGGTTGTCGGGCCGATTGAGCCATTTCATCACGTTAGCGAGGACCTGCTCGTTAGTCAACGTGGTTAGATGTTCTGTACCTATTACTTGAGCCACCTGAAGTAGACTGGCACACAGCGTTGACTCTGATGCGGCGTTGAGCCACAGGACGGACGTATAGCTCTGCTGGTGTTGCCGTGCATATGCAATGGCAATCTGGGTTTCCCAAGCCACCGATCCCTCCAATGACAACTCTTCTCTGCTCTTTGCATGCTTCATCTGGCTGAAGAATAGTGTGAATCTCATGAATCTCATGAATCTCAGCAGTACGACCCACAAAGTCGGTCGACTCGATCAGTGGCGCAGAGTTGAAACATAGTCCCAGTGGTGTCACTTTCGTAGGTTTTGGTCGACTTGGCACTGTACACATATCAGTTAGACAACAGGCTTAGACATACACAGCACTTTCCACGGTACGGAAGTCAAGGTAGAAGAAACAAAAAGATACCAAGATACCAATTCATTACATAGATCGTGATTGGTGCCATGCTTGCGAATTCGACGGTTGTAATTCGTACCGACCTTGTCTCGACTCAATGTGGGCTTTCCACACCTTTACTCTACTTGTCCTGCTTACCAGTATATTGGTTGATCGTGCCCACCCCGCCATAGCTGTGGAGGTCCCCCTGACCAGAGTGATGAGCATCACCCGTGCTGATGTTCTGCTGACCACCATAGTTACTGTTGTAGAAGTTCTTCGCCGACTCTTCTGGCAGAGAGCTGTCCACCTTTTCGAGCTCTTTGATCAGCTCGTCCAGATGCACGAGCAGTTCTGGTCGCATCGATTTAACGACATAGTAGTTTGCCAGTTCGCGGGTATCTTCGCTGATCGACTTCAGCAGTTATTCCACCGTCTTGCCCTTGCCCTTGCTCTTCACCGCCACTTTGTATCGTTCGATCCGGCCAGCATTCTCGCCAGGCACTGTATCTTCGAAGATGTCGCGCAGCTGACGTGCTTCTGCCTTGCATTTCGCAACAATCTTCGTGAAAGACTCAACTACATCGGCTGACAGTTCTTCTTTGACAGTATCAAGCTGGTCGTGACAGGTTTGCAACGAGGATAACAATAGAGGGAGGCGGCGAGCTACGGTTTGGAAGGTCTCGGGCAGTTTGATGTCTTGCTGCGCGCGTTGCCAGATCTTCACGCTGGCCTCGATAATGGCGATAATGGCACTAATACCTCCGGTCACCTCGAGTCCAGACATTTGGCAGATAAGGATTGAGGTGGTCAGGCTCGAGCCATCCTTGTGGAATTTTAGGGAATCAGCAGCTGATCAGCGAAGATTGAGTCTCTCACAACAAGTGAGTAAGTGGCAGCAATAGAGAGCGGTAACTCAGCAGACGACGTTAAGTCGTGGGTGGAAGCCTAGAATATATCGACAATGGTGTGGAGTTCCATGTGAACGTAGACAGTATGCGAGAAGAGGTTTCAACGTGCATGGTAGGTGCAACTTGTAAGCGCAATGTTCTTTTGGGCAACCACTGATAAATGCGGGAATAGCTAGAAGAAAATGAAAGTAACTCGCTTAAGAATAAGCCACAAAATGCCACAGATTGTGGTGGGCCCGAGTCAATAAGCTTTCACCGCATTGAGGCATGGATTGCTTCCCTAATCACTGGGAAAATGTGGCACCAGTCTTGCAAGCCTAGGCGCCGAATCTCCTCCTCGCCTTTTCGTAGCTCTTGTGTCTGGCCCGCCATTCCACTTCTAGACTGTGACCTTTTGTTCACGACTGTGTTGTGTTGCTTGCGGCTTCCTCTATTTCTACCTCGATTTTTCGTGTCTCTTTGTTCTTGCGCAGCAATGATGTCGTGGTACGTCATCACTTTTGCTGTGCCCGTAATGGTGGATCGTGCCGTCGTTCGAGTGACCTTTTCGTTGTTCTGTGTAAACAGCAGCTGATCCTCGTCTAGTAACAGGCTGCGGTTGGCAAATGCCTTTTCGGCAGTACGCACCAGCTTGAACATCTTAGTTCAACCCGTACCAGCGACTGCGAAATCTGAATGGCCTATAACAACATTTAAGTCAACCGGTGTGACAGTCGTTCACATCAGCGGTCAACTTTGACAAGGATAAATTGTCGTGCTGAAATATGACGCCTTCTTAGCTGGCTTGGCCAACATGTTGGCCATTGGGCACAGTGTATATTCGTGTTTGATCGGGATACCGAACCGGTGAAATTTGGGTCGTGTGGACGCTTTCCGCTTGACAGGCCAATAAACAGGATGGAAAGCACAATGAAGCCGGGTGGCAGAATAACTGTTAGGAAATTACACAGTAGGTGTAGAAAAGCTCCTTCACGATAACGGAGAGGAGCACATTATGGTGGGGCAGCGGAGCTCTCGAGACCTGAGCAGGCGGAAAGCCAGCGTTGGTTGAATGTGAGGATGCGTGAGCCCGCAGTTCTCAGAGCGGCTACCATTGGAATTGTTCTAATTGCACATCCAGAAGTTCAGCGGAAGGAGCAAACGGTGGAGCGACAGAGAGGCGAGGATGAGATTCGGCACTCAAGCCCTCGCAACCGCGCTTGTTGTATAATACGCTCTGGCTCGTCGTCTTCATTCGTAGTTGGTGCGCATTCGAATCATCAGGCAATATTTATTCAACATGCGTACTGGTTATGGAATCGGCTTCGAATAAAACACCCTAAAAGCAAGGAAAAAACCAGTAACATTGTGGCGCTCGAGATGGAGCATTATGGCAATGAATTCGAACCAGTCCTCTTGCGAGAGCACAATTCTAAAGAGTATGGTATGCGCCTTGTAGTCACACGAGATTTGCTAAGCTACGGGAGGTTCGTCTTATTGCTCAACACATACTGGACGGCGAGCATTCCAGCCTCACATGCTATGTCTCTCGCTGTCATCCCGCTAACATTCCTCGATACTATTAGCCGGACTGTGTTGTATTGTGTGCCTTCGATGTCTGCTATATCTAGGTCATTGTCCCACCAAAGACTATCGCCACCCTGTTGCGTCTGAATTTCTAAATGAGCATGCGCCTCTAACAGACACTGCAGAACGGGCACAGAACCGACACAAGCAGCCAGGTGTAAGGCGGTGATGTGGTGCTGGGCTTGTAGATTAACGTCGGCGCCGTTGTTCAACAACAGCTTCATCACTGCCAGTCGTTGATAATCCAACAGCAGATTCCCATCGGTCTCAAGCGCCCACATCAGCACTGTTCTGCCCCAGCGGTCAGTGGTGTTGACGTCAGCACCATGGTCAAGCAGAGTGCGTATCAATGCTATATCACCGTGCCTGGCTGCCCAGTGCATCAACGTCCTACGGTGGTAATCTGCTTGCACAGGATTAGCACCATGTGCGATGAGTTGCATGGTGATCGAAGTCTTTCCGTGTTTGGCTGCCAGCATCGCGGGAGATTGTCCAAAAGCCTCGATGTCGACACTTGCAGAATGATCGATAAGAAACCGTACTCCTTCTTCATCTCCCTCTCGCGCGGCCCAGTGGAGGGCAGTCTGGCCATCCCAGCCGGCTTCGTCAATTTTGGCTCCCTTTTCCAGCAGTAGCTGCATGATGGGTAGGTCACCGGCCCAAAGCGCCATCATTAAAGCAGTCCAACCACCAGTATCATGTGCATTCACGTCGGCTCCCTTCTCGATCATCCCTTTGACGCGTTCGAATTGTTTTTCCTGAACCGCGGCTCGCAGACCTGTAAGAACAGTACTGGCTTGCGCCTTTTCCTCCAGACACGTGTTGAAGTATGCGTTGATGTCGCGATCTGCTAGATACACTGTCATCGGTGTGGTCACTAGCGCTGCCTCTGGCACTCTTGTGGTTAGTAAACGTGCAATGTCTCTGTGTTCTTTGGTAAGAGCCACACGCAAGGGCGTCCAGAATTTGTCGTCTTTCACACTAGCCTCCGCTCCACGATCTAACAGTAACACCACCATATCCATTCGACCTCTCAAAACGGCTCGATGTAATGGTCTGAAACCGTCTGCGTCGCGCATATCGATGGCTGCACCGTGATTCAGCAAACGTTCGGCCGCCAGAAGCGCTCCGTCTTGCGACGCCCAGCATAAAGCAGTTTGACCTTGTCTATTACTGGCATCAACTTCGGCACCGTGTTTAATCAACAGGTCCACCATATCTCCATCCTGGATTGCCCAGTGTAGCACCGTGTTTTCGTAGTTGTCTCTGCAATCGATAGAAGCACCATTCTCTAGCAGCGTTCTGGACGACGCAAGTCGACCGGCTGGTACTGCCCAGTCTAGAGCTGTGCTTCCTTCGGCGTCTCGCGTGTTGATATCAACCCGGTGGTCTAGTAGAAGTTGTACAATCTGTGCGTGACCCTCCTCTGCGGCGAGAAATAAAGCCCGACGATCCTTGCCGTCTTTCAAGATAGTGTCATTCGAGCTTTTAAGAAACTGCTGGACCAGGCTCGTGTTTCCGACCAGTACAGCCCAGTCCAATCCGGTCCATCCTTTGTTGTCCTCCATGTCAACTTGGGCACCTACAGAGAGGAGCAGCTGGACTAGATGAGTATGGCCGTTCTTTACAGCTAATGCCAACCCGGACTCTCCATTGACGTTGCAAGCATTAACATCGGCACCGCGGTCTAACGATGCTTGCACTATAGTCGTGTGCCCGAACTGTGCTGCTAAGATCAGTGACGTCATACCCGTAGTGTCGCGGCGATCAATGGTAGCGCGTGACGCATAGAGAAGAAAGGTGTCGTGCAGACCACATCGAGCGGCCAGGTGGGCTTGGCTGAAATTTCGTGGATATCTTTCGTGCCAATCTTTCGCACTAAGTGGCGAGGCGTAGAGGGTTTGCACACAAGCACTCAGTAGATTTTTGTCGTTGAGAAAGATAAGAAGAGGACCTTGAACGGAAGCGACTGTTTGATACGCTGAGACATGGTAAAACCAATGGTGACAGGCGTAAACCCAGAATCTGTGATGATTCAGTTTCTGCTCAAATTCGCTCAAATCCTGGCTGCATCCGTTTCTGAAGGGCTCGAGCATGAGCGAGGTAAGACAAATTCGGGCGAAATATGTCTTGAAATCCGGAAGAAGATGCTGTGGATGTTCGTTGAGATATGTGTTCAAGGTACCATGAACCAGAGTGAAAGCGGTAGTCACTTTGTTGAAGTGTAGTAACCTCAGACACACAGCGAGAACAACTTCACGATCATAATCAAGCTTCTCGTTTAGATCAGCGGCATTGGGTTGGAGGGACAGTGCCTGGGTCAATTCGACTGCTGTTAACGGTCGTCGGGCACATTGCACATAGGAGATAGCTTTCTTCGCCAGGATCTGATTGGATTCGACCTGTTTCTCGATCCGCTGGAAGGCTTGGGCGTAATAGTCAGAGATTTTATTTGGAAGGGCCCTAAGTGCATCACGTGTCTCCTTGACAGAAGGTTGGCTACTGAGATATTCAAGCTGTGCCGAAACCAATAAAAACCTGTCGTACCATTAGTAGTGTGCAGGTAGAGCAGTTGAAATTTGTAGATCTTACATGCCATTGGCACTCTTCTGGATCGCATTAATGATCTCTTGCTCTAAATCCGGATCTTTCTTAATATGAAGACGTAAAAAAGGATGTTGTGGTATCTCAAGGGTGAGATATGCCGCAATGGCAGACTTGGTCGCGGTAATCTCGATCTGACGAACGTGGGTGAAGTGTATATCGAGCTCTAAATCTGGATGCGAGGTCACGAATATCGCTATTGATGACGACAACTCAGAAAGAACTCTAACAAAACTCTCTCGCGGAAGTACTGGACATTCGTCCTGTGCAAAGTCAGTGTTGACCGCAAGAGTGCAAAACCAAGTAAGAGAAAACCTCACCAATGCATCCACAAACAGAAATGTATTATCAAATAGTGGATGAATCGTCTTGATTAAATCAACCCACTCTGCTGAGTTGGCCGCGCGCCGACGCCCGGTTTGCTTTTCACAGAAGTCTGTGACAGCAGTGGGTATGCTCTTCATTTGTTCGACGAGCTGTCTGGCAATGCTAGACAAAAGTCCGACTTCTGAATACGTTCTCGGATCATTATAGTCGCAGTACACGGAGACAATAGCTGCATTGCTGTTGCGTGTATGCTCATTGACAAAATCGATCGCGAAAGAACTAAAATGTGAGCAGATCAGCCTATGGCTATAAGGGAGTGCTTACGTGAAAATTGTCTTGCCTGTTCCAGCTGCATAACCAATCAGCTTTCTACTCATAAAATTAGCAACATGTGAATGGCATCACCTACGCTTTCCAGGACACCAAAGTACACAATCCCTGCCGCTCCTCATCCATGTCTGAAAATTTGGGTGAGCGACAACCCAATCGCATGTACCGCTTCGGTACTTGGCGAAGGCATCCTGCTGCTTTCCTAGAAAATCCAACAAGGACAAACTTTTTAAGATCTTTTCTCTCTCGACCGAGGTCTTCTGGACTATAAGTAATCAGCTTGAAACAGAACAGAGGCCGATCTCCCCTACCTTCGAGCAGTGACTGCATACTTCTTGTTGCTTGGTTCAGTGAAAAAGTGTTGACCTCTAATTGCTTACTGCTTCGTCCTAAGCTGTCAATGGCAGCCCGCGTCGAGACATGATCGTTCTTGTTCTGCTTGAGGAGATCATAGCTGAGTTTCTCGATCATCCGCTGCTCATTCTCGCATGCCTGTCGAAACTTTCTCTTTGCCTCCGCCAAGTCCGTGTCACCGCCTTGCAAGAGGGTTCGCAGGGCTTTCCCTGTTTAGTAGCATAACGGTCAGTACATGATTAGCAAGCATCAATTTCACATGGTCAGACTTACGGCGTCGTCCCATCTGAATGTGCTTGACACAGACACCACAGAAAACAAGCATAGCAGCAAGGACTTTGGCAGTCATTGCCTGAAGCTCCAGTGAATCGGTAACATGGCGTTCGAGAAGCTTTAGTTGTTCGAGGTACGATTGGACATCTTCAAAGAACTCCGCAATGTTGTCGTAGTCGGCTGAGACTTTGTTCGTGGTCTATGGTGTTAGCTAAATCACACGGCGGTCACAGGTTCAGATGTATCCTTGTTACCTGCACAAGAAAGCCAACGGCAGCGAAGATACCTGAAGCTGGTGCGAAGTTCTACAAAATCGAGCGTATCAGTACCATATCGGTGGTTCATATCTACAAGACTGACTGAAGACAGGGCCGAAGCCAAAATCTTGCTGATCTGGTCGACAAAATGCAAACCTTGTTTTACGGCTGATCGGATTTTGTCGACTTTAGATGTACTGTTTCTGAAAACCCCGAACTTAGTCTCCTGGATCTGTAAGGCGCCGACGATGTCGATCGCGCTGGACACAACCGGAAGAGAGTCGAGTTTGGTACTGGTGGAAGCTTCGAAATCGGCCACTGCATCGTTCCAGATACGCTGCACCTCAGAGCTTGCCATAGTCTGACGAAGCTGGTTGCTGAGATAGGGACTTGCAATGAATGATTCAATGTCCGACAAGGAGAGTTATTCACCGCCAAAGATCAGACAAATCCAGAATTCGTTTTGGGTATGGCCTCGACTGGGTGCGTACGCTGGCGCTAAAGTGATGTGAGTCCTTTGCTGTTAGCGAAGTTCTACTTAGGCGCAGGCACACGATGGAAAACACAAGGCAGAGTGACAGTACATCACTCATAGACGATGCTCGAGTCTCTCTGGCACTCTTCATTGCCGAACACCCTAGCCCTCGAAGGGTATCTCGCATCGAAGAACGAAATATTATCGATTGGCTCAACAACCCGGACAGACGACCTACTACGCAAGAAGAATTCAGTCGCCGTAACTATGTGCGCAAGAGCTTCGTATGGGATGAGCACGAGTCAAAATTATTGACAACCGGCAAAAATGGTTCGGGTCACCTGCGTGTGGTAGTCCTCACAGACGAAATCGTGGACGTCGTCGAGCGAGTTCACCAGGCCAGCGGGCACTCAGGTTGGGATGCGACTTGGAACACCATCAACGATCTCTACTATGGAATTTTAAGGTCAGATGTGATTCTGGTGCTTAAGACATGTCGTATTTGTGCTCAAGATCCTAGAAAACGGCCCAAGGGCTCAGTTGGTTCTTCAGCCTGGCCTCAAAGGGATCAGTCAAACCTTGATTGATGCCATCAAGCGCAGGAGAAACAGACTGCAGATTCCTTACTACCAGAAAGTCAAATCAGTTCAGAGACAAGCACATACGCCAATGAACCAGTCGAAGAAGAAAGCACTGATGTGATGAAACGGACCACTACCGATCACTGTCTTGCATACCAGAGTCACCACGCATGTGAGCAGATTCGATGCAGTTTCGTCCTACTGGTAGGGCAAAGGCTAGTGTTCAGATGCAGACCAGCATTCTTAGCTTGTGAAGGAGGTAACTCTGACCTCGCTCGATTTTCACAAGTTTTAGCATAGTATTCAGCCGTCCAGCAGGTATATGCTCGGGAAGAGGTGACCTGATTGTATACTATACGTAGAATTTACAAGCTTTACATGATCGTGTTGAAATCAATACTAATTTTTGTAAATGGGGTACCGTAGAATGACGTCCGCAGGACCGCCTGAGCTCTTCGAGGCTTGCCTTGGGCCTTGGTTCTCTCGCTGATCGCCCTCCACAATTGTGTGCTCCACCACTTTGAGGTATTTTTAAATATACACTTCGACCACCTCGTTGGATAGATCAGACATTCGATCCATAACACAATTGCTCGTTGCGCGCTGTGTCAAGATGGCGAAACAAAGACCAATTCTTTCCATAGAGGACATGGAAGCACATATGTAACACGATGTTGAATCAAATGAAAAACAAACACGAATGATCCAAAATACTTCAGCAACCTTGAGATAGTAGGTTCTAATGGTGATTGATATATGGAACGAGAATGTGAAAAGGAAAAAGCATCACGTACAGGTACACACTCTTTCCACCAATCTGTAAACCATGGAAATCTCATATCAGGGGTACAAGACTTGTCTCATTCACGCTCTCAGCTTATTTGGCGACGGAACTTCCAAATCGACGAAGGTCATGTGACTGTCACGCAGCTAGCTCGAGCTGACCATTTTATTTTTGATGTGAAAGCCCAGTACAATTTCAGACCTTTCTTTTCGTCTTTGTTCACCAGAAATAAGGCTTAGAGACTTTCATACTTGTCAGAATTATGTGTTTTAGGGCTTTAGGGCTTAGGGCTTGCCTCCCTTAGGTATTCTCATGTTTGCAATCTCCACAATTGCCAACGAAGAGGTTGTAAAGGATATAAATAGGGTAGGAATCCATTTTTTATGGTTGAGATGATCCTGTAAAGACTCCTTGCGAAGGCCGAGGAGGGTACGATGGATTTGCAACTTATTGCCGCAACGTTATCAAGCGTATACTGCACAACATGTAGATCTCATTACAAGTCTGCCACGAGATCTGGCATTGTTCTAGGTATTCTAGCATCACAGAGCACGTTGTGGCCCATCGTGGAGAGCAAAGTCTTCACAATAATTATCCATTGTGTTACAAACGTATGACGTGAAGTCACTGAGATCGGACTGATCACGCCAGCCCTGTTCGCTTCATCCTGGAGCCGACGTTAATTCTCTCAGCCATTGGACAAATTGAGTCCGTTTGAGCGGCTCGCCCGCCGCATCTATGATATCCAGCTTCTGCAGCCCACGTATATGTTGTAGACGTCGAAGACCTTCATTTGCTTCATAAACCTCCGGCAAGAAAGCATCAACGAGATCCTCGTCGAATTGTAGGCGAAGATGTTTTAAATTGCGACATTGCTCGAGTAAGATGCTGCACTCTTCCGCGTGAAGGGTAACCAAAGCAGGAACGAATTCCCGATCAGCCGGTGCGTTGCTCGCTTGACGTTCAAGGTCACTCCTGCTGCTCCATGAAAATTCCAATGCTGTTATGTTCTGTCTCCCAACTTGCCCTGCTGCAATCAGAACCTGAATGGCTTCGTCTATGTCATCCAGTCGAAACATCGTCTTCTGGTATGCAAAAGCCAAAGACTCAAAGCGTATCTGCTTGCACGTTCTCAACAAGGGAAGCTGACAAAGAGGAAAGAAGAAGCCACTTTGATCTCCGAGACTCTCGGCAAGGTTGGGTAAGCAGACACCGTGTTCTTGTCTTTCCCAGATTCCTGATGGAATGACCGAATAGAATATCTTTTGACGAATTTCAGCTGGCAGGCTCGAAAAGATCGGTCCAAGATCGGAGGTAGGATTGTATATTAACTAAACATTCTTTCAACGATAGCATCAGTATCGTCTGTGGATACTTACCTTGGGAGCAGATAGTGCGCGCGAGGCTTCGACTGATGTGAGCAGGAAGGAGAAACGCAACCGAAAGTTGTAATCAATGCTAGCAGCGAAAGGATACATTCGTGAATGGTTCGTGCGCTTCAAGGTCGTGGTGTTGCCATCGTAATCAACCACCTACTCCTTTGTAAGCAGCGCAAACAAGAACAGAAGCAATGTACCTCGCTTTGGAAAGAAGGTTTCGTGTTCTCGAACAAGATATCGCCATCATCTGACACAGGAAATTCACATCTTGTTTGCTCATCGAGCTCGCGTTGAACCCTGGAGTGCTTGTCCTGCGGAACAGGTCGAAGGTCGATATAGTACGCTGCGGACTCGAATCCGCTGATATCGTGGTTGATATCATAACCTAGCTTTCTCTCCAGTTGTTGCGTTGTATGAGCGGGCCTTCGTTTTGCCATAACGACATGTGGTATCCGATCGTGTGTATTCACGATTCTGAAGCACTCGGGAAGGAGGACTCCGGAGGGCGCAGCCTCGTCACTTCTCGGTCACAGCCTCGTGGTCAACGATGAACTTCCGGGAGGTGAGAACAGAACCATATCTTGTACGAAACACATAAACACTCCTTCAGATCAAAAGAGAAGTTGCGTCTACTATGATTGGCCATGCATTATTAACTTTCACAGCCCTGAACAGACGTGAGGACAACTTCGTGTTCCTGCGCTGTAGGCAGCAGATAACTATACATTTCGTGCACACTGCTTCGATCACAATACCTCCGAGCTTTTCAGGTGATCGCTTCACAAACTTGATATTACCTTCCTTCAACCATATAAATCTGTGCTTCAGTCGCGATTCAGGTCATGAGAAGGTCTTGTAACATGCTTAGAACACCAACAGTGCTCTTTGGGCATTTTGCAGGATTCCGAGCACAAATTTGACAGGTCTTCAACAAAAAGATTACATCCTACCACAGAATACCATGGTATGAGCCGCTGGCACCTTTCCACGTTGTATCCCAACCTGCATGACCGTTGGCTTCATAGATTCTCTCCACTACATCCACTGTACTTTCTGCTGTGACAACCTGCCTGAATAAGCTGGTATTGTTCTTGTCAATCGCAAATAAGGTGCAAGCACTTCCATCCCATAAAAAGCTCTTTCGAACATAATTACGGCGACTGAATTCCTCCTGTGGTGAAGGTCTCTTAAGAGAATCGTTTAGCCACGAGACGATCTCAGACTTTTCCTCTTCTGAAATGCGACGTGTGCTCGGCTTGGTTGAGACCAATTGAGCAAATGTGTCTCGAACGTAGGTATAGCAATTCCTTTCCCGTTATGAGTCACTATCTTTGTGCGTCTGTTCTAGTTTCGAGGGAAATGTCGGTGAACAGCAATATCCCCAACATCGCGGTAGCAACAAATCGTGATGTGACCGCCATCTGGCAAACAGCCCTTGATGATTTCGAAACGACCACCGGCACCAAAATTGATCGTATGCTTCCTGTGACTGATGTAGATGGTCTTTTGCAAGCCGTCAAAGCACAATAATCTGTACTCGACCGTTTCCGTCATGACAGTACACGAACGGACAAATTCAGAACGGTCTTAAAAAAGCTTGTTCCCAGTAGAGCAAATGAGCAAAGTTACACACCTGCGCTTTCCATGGTCAGTCTGTCATTATTGCGACTCCGACCAATGTTCTGAGATTTTGTTGTGCGCAGATTTTTGCTCCTGGCTCAGCTGTGGGCTACCTTATTGAGGTAACTTTCTTACATTCTCACCAACCGTCAAGCCACGCTTGCTGACCGTAGTGTTGTATGGTTGCATCAACGTCCATGCCGGTCACGGAACAGAGTGCGGGTTGTATCTCAATTACGTAACATTCTTGATGCCGAGAATGGTAAACTTAAAATCTATCTTAAGTACGTTCTGCTGTCCAGAACGACCAACCTCAATATGCTCGATCGTCAACAAACAATGCTTGACATTAATAAATTGATGCAGCAAGCTCGAGCTCTGGGACTAGTACTGAATGGCATCGAGTTATGCCGTTTCCCAAGAAAGGGATTAGGCATAATCGCACGAAAAAACTTCGAGGTATGATGCCCTTATCCATATCCTTCGGTGAACCCAAAAGGATGTTTATATAGCAACGAGCTCTTACAAGTGGTAGACAGGTGAAACACTGCTTTCAGTCCCTATGAATGTCTTAAAAAGCGAAAAGACTGTTGCTAAAGAGTTTCGTGAATCCCTCCAAGGTATATCTGTCCAAGGACTTCTTGCAGCCGACATCCTCTATGACTGTTCCGAGTCACGTGTTGCTTGGAAAGAGTCGCTACCAACTAAAGAGGCTTTAGCCAAAGCGCTTCCGTTTTGGTGGGCGCAGGAGGCTCAGTCGTTGCTGCCCGAAGCAGCTAGCGACCTTTTAAGAACTCAAAAGCAAAGACTTCAATCCGACTGGCAAGTGGTGTCGACAAAGCTGCCAACGACGTCATTCGACCAGTATACATACAACTGGTTCCTTGTGGGCACGCGTACCTTCTACTTCACCCATCAAGACACTCCGGACGACATAGATCCCTACGAATGTATTGCTTTGGTTCCCTTTGCCGATTATTTCAATCATGCAGAACATGGCTGTAGCGTCCACTTCTCTCCTGAATGCTATTCATTCAGTGCAGATCGAGTTATCCAGGAGGGCGAAGAGGTATTCATCAGCTACGGCAACCACAGCAACGACTTCTTGCTAGCAGAGTATGGTTTCTGCCTAGAAACAAACCAGTGGGATGTGGTGTCATTGGACTCTGTGCTAAGCCCTTTGTTTGACGAAGAACGCAGAAGACTCCTTGAAGAGGCAGACTTCTGGGAACATTACACCTTAGACGTCGATTCTGTTTGCTACAGGACGCAAGTTGCGGTAAGGCTACTGTCGATGCCTTCAGAATTATGGTGTGTATCAATGAAGAGCGGCTTTAATGAAGAGGATGAATATCAAGAGCTAGCCGATCACACACTGGCAAACATTCTAGAAGTGTTCTTGGAAAGGATCTACGGCAAGATGGAAGAGCTTCGCTCTTTAGACTCGCGGCTGACTTGTGAGAAAGACGTGCTTACTAGACGCTGGACTCAAATTCTTTCTTTGGTTAACACAGGGCTGCATAGACTTCGTAATCATGAAAACTAGCACTTTCCAGCTTAATGGAGTAGATGCTCGCATCAAGATTTACGTGCTGCGCATATCCAAACGCAATTCTCCAGCCTCTGTCAAGTTTCTTCGCACATTCACTTTCGTCGTTGCCCACCATTCGCTGCTACCTCTCTGTTAACTGTTCACGAGAGCCATTCACGACCACCATCAGGAAACTGGCGCTAGTTGTTCAACACATCTCAAGATGAATGCGTAGCGGCTGAAACCACTCGCCTCGACAGCACGCGATGCGAGCACGTGACAGATTCGAGGACATGGGGAGTGGCACAGACCTTTTCCTGGCATTGTCACCAAACCGGATCTTACGAAATGATCTCACTCACCATACAGGAGCTAAGCACATTAGGAGAGAGAGGTTGCAGCACTATGGAAGTTTGGCGTCAACACGAAAACTCGACTTTATACATCACAACTTGCATCACAGTGCTTACGTTGCAACATCTCGAAACCAGGCTGAGCTCACAACACATTCGTATGGGATGCATACACGTGACGGTGAAGCGCTTGTAAGTGGTCAAGAGCAGGTCTGCTGCGGCGTAGCGGAGAAGTCGTTACAAGTAATAGACTGCCAGTAGTGTCCTTGCTTAGTCGATGCATCCCACTGTTAGCGCCAGACACTACTAACAGTGGTCGGAAGACAATGCGTCCAGTGCAATCGCAGAAGGGCAACTCATGATGTGTGACATGGCACCGATGCCAGCTGGCTCAAGGCACACGCGACTGGATGCCCAGTATGCTTGCCATTCGGACGATGCTTAAGGGCAGAGGTCATCTGGAAGCCTGAATCAATTTATCCATTTTCGTAGAGAGTAGGGTCGTGACAGCATCGGTTCCAACGTTGCCTAATTGTCGGCAAGTAGTCGGCGACCTAAAATTGGATCCACCTGCTCTTATCTCAGTCACCCATCTGACTTCTGCCCACAGAACATAAAGGATCTGATATGATCAACAAAAGTAATGTGGTTGGTGGAGGACAGATCAGGTCGGGAGTGTGTTCGAGATCGCGACACCAATTTGCGCAGCGGGGTACGACTCTGCCGTTGAGGTCTGTGAGTAAGAGTTGTGCGGTCCCTTGCATGGCTCATGTTGCAGGGCAGGAGCAACGTCGCACAGCGTACTACCCCTTCTGAGACATCCTGACGAATGTGAAGAACGTGAAGCAAAGAAAGAATGCTGTACCACCCAGAGTGTCGAGCCCCTTGCATCCTCATCTCCAGCTCGTAGATATAGGCGCCAATCTCTTCTCAGCGTGACCCAGCTCTTCTGCGTGTGTGTCCTTCTCACTTCTCGTCACGTCAACCAAGATTTGTAAGTGTAGTCGTCGGATCTCTTCCGCTATGTCGCCATCGGTCGACACGATACTCGCCATCTGCGGGCTCGTGGTAGGCTGTGCGCCAGTCGTGGCCCTCGTGGTCGGAAGGATATCTGGGAGCTCGTGGCTGCATCGTAGGTTCGAGTGCGCTGGCACAGGTACGTATTTCGCACTCGTTGCTTTTTGGTAGCTGCCCGTCATCTGAGACAGTAACAGTTGACGAGGTCAGCAGGTCGTGGTACACCCGAAGACATCGAAGCACACCTTCGAGCGGGCGAGAGAGCCGGCGAGGATCGTCAATGAACAAAGTGAGTTGTGTAGATGGGCTTCGGGACATCTGCCATTGCGGCCGATGTTCTGCAGACACATACACGTCAACCCGACCAGACACTGGCTGGTGTGAAGAAAACGTGGGCAAGAAGCGTTTCTGTAGAGCTGGTGGATCAAGGGAATAATCTCTACGTGGCCTGAACTGTCTTGCACGATTTTGCTTGGGTCTAGTGGAGGAACATGAACTGGAAGTGGAGATGAACGGCTAGAGGCGTGGCCAGGCGGAGTTTCCAAGAAGCGAGCCAAGCACATAGTTCTGAAAGCCTGGCCAGCCTCGAGTCAAGGAACGATGTGCTTCTGAGCTGGAGGACGACCGCACCCTCGTTCGACCACAGCGTAAAAGTGCATGACCCCAGCGAGTCGGTGAGCAGCCCATCTGCATGGGTACAGAGGGGAACATTGAAGAAATTGTCTGATTTCCTTTTCGAGTGATGGCTATCGATACCCGGACCTTGAAACTGTGGCGTATATCAGTCAACAATCCAGCCTTGAGGAAATTGTAGCAGTCCATCCGGACCACGTCTTATGCTAGGGCAAGCAAGTCAGAGTTTGTTGAGTTTTTATCATGCAATCAGACGGCGAAAAACTTTACAAACAATGCGTGGGCATGCAAGAAGAAAAGGGTTGCTAACAACCATGTACTGCGGTTGTCAAGAAAGCTACGCCTGTAAAGATCGCCAGGGGAAGGCTCGCCAAGGCAAAAAAAGAAAACAAAGCACGACTCACCGCGTCCTGTTAAATGCGTGCCAAGTCCGCTATCTCTCCAAGCACATAACTTACCACGCGTTTCAGCTGCCGATGTGGCACTCAAACTACTCATCCCTAAGTCTGGCATTACCCATCCAAGATGGCTCATTTTCTCAGCCTGACACAAGGCGTTCTTAACCCTTATTCTCCACCTCGTGCGGAATTCGAAACAGTCCCGTTTTGGTGCCTCCCAAGCAGATGCGTATGTAATGCTAGCGTTGAAGAACATCTGGGGTGCCCTTCACGTGGAGTGGAACTCTCCACACTGCGCAGCCAAAACTTTGGTATTATCGAGTCCTTCATGACATGACTCTATCTAACCACCCATTCATTAGCAATATGCCGCGTCTTCAGCCGAAACTGGAAGCATCAGATACCTCTTTGAAGCTGTGTTGAATACATACTAAGTTTAGTAACAACGCTCAGCCTGTCTTGTCGGGCCATATGAGCGTGCCATGCAGGGCTGCTCCTTTTGTTAGCTTCTGGGACAGCATGTTGAGCAGAAATGGTTGCTTCCGCCAAGCTTAATGTTGTGCCGTTCTGTTTCAGGTCTGTTCTTCGTTTGCGCTCTTCATCGCTTGATTTAATGAGACTGCTGTCAATCTCTTAAGCGACGCTTGCTTTTAGGGCGCGGGTTTTTGAAAGGTAAAGTCATGCTCGAGAAGAAATCCGGGTACCTCTACTTACTGTACCCTGTTCGCATGCCTGTGCAGCCGTCCCTGCTACGCCACAGAGCACCACTGCAAAGGCCAACTCTCCTACGCTTTTTAAAAACAATCAGGATGCCGCCAAGTTAGTTCATGCATGGGTCGAAGGTTCATGGTTACTCAGTCTAGTCTGCACACTTGCCTGGCCACGTTCGTCTGGATTCTCCCAAGCCACTCTATCGGTGGTTCGGTCCCCTCGGATGAGCTTATATATATCTGCCATCGTGATCACTGCTTGAAGCCGAGACAAAGCTCCTCAACTTATTGTCACAACTTGGTATCGCTTTCGAAGACTGGACATGGAGGTCACTGTTGGTTACGTGTCCGATCTCATCGCAGCCTCAATATTTGTGCTTCAAACCCTGCTCCCAAACGTCCTCGTCGTCGTGGTTGTGGGGCTACTGACTAAGAAACATTCTGCAGTGACCTGGAGTGTGGTGGAGCGAAATTTGTTGAGCTCGCTATGGCCGGTCATCCTTTGGGTGGAAAATCACGTAAAAAGGAGGTTGAACTACTGGTCGAGTCTTGCAGTGAGCTCCCACGTCGTCGCCACAGCTTTTTGAGGTCCTCATGATGCGACCATGATTTCTAGTGGTTGCTAGCTTTCATCACAATGATAACGGCAGATATTAAGACAATATTAGAACAGTACTAACACCAGCTATCTGGCAAAACTAGCAACCTGCATAACAAGAATACTGTAACAACGTGAACATCTTTAACATATTCCTCTTGCTACAAGTGTGTCTCTATAATATCTTGTGTCGCTGCTGATATTCTTCAGGCGATTTACGGTCTGACGCTCGCCACAGCACGCGACGACGACTGCACCGTGGACGGGATGGACTGTTCTGAGAACTCGTCTTGTTGTTCTGGCTGCTGTTCACGCTACCACCCGTCCAACCGATCGAGTCATTGTATTAGTCAAGTAGCCGCCGGGATGGGGTGCGGTCTGTAGTGGAAGTCAAGGTGCTTGCCTGAGATGACTTTTAGAGATGTCGTGGGAACTGATTTCGTCACTCATCCGGCGGTGAGAGAGTATGGCATAGGCAGGCTTCTTACGAGTTGAGAAATCCTCCAGTGAACGAGTACGTGTATTCATCAAGTGAATTGAAGAAGTGAGAGATTCGGTCCCGCGTGATGTGCTCTTCTACGACGGTATTATGCAAGCTTCGTGAGAGTGTGTCAGGGCGACTGCAATCT